TCTTTCTTTCTTTCTTTCTTTCTTTCTTTCTTTCTTTCTTTCTTTCTGTCTTTCTCTTTCATTCATTCTTTCTTTCTCCATGATTTTTATTCTACTTGAGCCACCCACAGTCACATGACAGAAAGATGGATGGCATATAAATCTCATAAATAAATAAATCATTTTTTTTTCAGGGGCTATTGATCAAAGGGCTGATGTAACAATGGGGAAACTGGAATTTGAAAATCTCCCTTTTTAAAAAAATTTTTTTTAGCAAACACAGTTGGAGCTCTTTTTACAGATGAATGTGTTCACACATGGACACACAGGGACACAAACCAACAGACTGTGGTTTATCTTTCACTGCAAATGGCTTTCAGGCAACATTAAAGAAGATGAACATTGATAAGACACAGTTTCAAGGGGAAATGCTCAGAAGCTCTGAAACCATGAAATGAATGCAGCTCAACCAGAGAAAAAGAAACAGCAGTTGAAAAAAACCTGTGAACCTTCTGAAAACAGCATTAAAAACACAGGAGAACAAAACAGAGTATAAGGATGAGAGTTTATTTATGTATTAGATTTAGACTCTAAGAAGAAAGATTTAGCCTTTCCTCCAGAAGTTTATCATAGTAAAAAACAGAACCTTTTTTCTTCAATGTTAAGCCCATAATTATCAGGCATAAGGAACCAAAAACGACACAATGAACTGATCAGAGTGGTATGTTTATTACTGCTCGCCTATAGGCAAGAATCTTGCCAGATTAAAGCACTCACTGCACAACTACTAGATAAATACTGCAAAGATTTAAGGAGGATCTACCATCAGCCTCTTCCTCCCAACAAGGGAGTCAACTGTTTCATTTTCCACCTCTCCTCAATGCGAAATTCCACCACAACTTCACAAAGATGGTTGCCCTAAGAGAGGGAGAGACTGTCCCGAAGCCATCCAATTTGACCTTTCTCTAGCACATGTCAGATTTGAAACTGGATCTTCTGGTCCCATTCAGGATAGTAACTGCTACAACAGGGCAATTTGAATTCTGCCTCACCCAACATCACCATATAGGCTCTTGGATACTCTTATAATGGTATGTTAAATTGTACTCTAAAAAGAGGGCAGGACCTCTAGAAACAAACCATTCCTAACCATAAGGAGGTGAACACGATGAAATGTGTGGTGATGTCCACAATGCAAGGTTCACCTTTTTCTATTTGTGTTGCATGTCTGTCTGTCTGTCTGTCTGTCTGTCTGTCTATCATCTATCTATCTATCTATCTATCTATCTATCTATCTATCTATCTATCTATCTATTATCTATCTATCTATCTATCTATCTATCTATCTATCTATCTATCTAT